AAATTATATCCAGTACTTGAGACAGAGAGACAGCTGCAAACCTCTGTGCCTTCTGCTACGTTAGCACATGTATCTTAATTTCCTGGAGTACCTCACAGGGTTGTTCTGAAGATAAAATATAGGGGAGAGGAGAATGTTGTAAGCTGCTACAGGTCTCCATTGAGGAGAAAAAAAGGGGCATAAATGAATGAAATGAAATAAATCAGAACACCCCCAGATCTAACAACTGCAGAAAGTAGCATCAGTTAAAGCTGTGGTGCTGGGGAAGAGATGTGTACCATTGCCCTGATCGGAACTGCCCAATCCCAGACTGATTTGAGCCTCAGGCGGTTGAAAGAGCAGCCCAGAAACAACATGGCTTAAGAGCTAGTCCTCCTTCCCCTTATTGAGGGTTCCCCAGCTCTTTTTTTCAGCAGAATTACTTATCAGGGGATCCCCCTTATTAAGCTATCTTTGTAACAACGAGGACTAAATGGCTGCTTTCCCCTGAAAGGAAAAAAACCCCACTCCGTTTCTTAAGAGTCCGGATTCATTCTGCACCCCCGTTTGCCACAACTATGCGCATCCACAGTTCAAGTCCCCTAAAATTTGTTCTGATCATAGAACAAGGAGGTATCTGAAATGCCTAACATTTCAGATGACTTTTGGGGAATGAATGATCTTAGGGTCTGAGCCAACAGCTTTGTTGTCTCACGAAGCCTTTTGCCTCTTGCTGTGTGTCACGCTATAAGCAGTCCCCCTTCCCACCATCCCAACATAGTTCTTATTCACCATGGACCCAAACACACGTCCTGTTGTACCGCTGACGGCAGCAGCCTCCTCAACACCTTGCCCTGGTTTTCCTCTCCCCCTACACTTGACTCTCTCCCCTCTCTGATCTCTTGACAGGCTTCTTTGGGTACAAGAATGTGACCCGGATCCCAGCAGGCGCGAGGCACATCAAGGTGACGGATCGCAGCCGCAACTATCTGGGTAGGAAGCAACTTCTGCCCCATCCAATTCTGCACATAGCCCCCTCCCACCAGCACCGGGAGAGCATTTATCCTGGTCCCCTGTTTGGCAGTGGATGGGGCACATACTGGTCTGTCTTATCAAATTTATATCCCACTTTACCCCTAAAGTGCTCTCAGTGGAATACAAGTTTCTCCTCTCCCTCTTTTTTTTAATATCAAGGAAAATAGTATATATAATTGTATACAATAAGAAAAAGTTTTGTTCCAATGGCCAGTAAACAAAATCCAGGTTTTCACAAATCTATAAGATTACGGTCTTCCCAGTTCCCTTCTATTATAAGTCAGCTTGGTCAAAAAGTGTGACTGTCCAAATCCTTTTGTACCAGTCTATTGATGGTGGGGACTCTTTGATTTCTGTACAGCAGCAATATAAGTTCTGGCTACAGTCATCAAAGGTGTAATGTAACCAGTTTCATATCATTAGATCCAATATTATTCTTTAGAAAACCAATAGGGGCACCTTGATTTCTGTTACTAATTTATTTATTTTTATTTAACCAGATATACCCTGCCTTTCTCCCCAATGGGGACCCAAGGAGGCATATATAGTTCTCTCCTCCAGTTTATCCTCACAACAGCCCTGTACAGCCAGTTTGGTGTAGTGGTTAGGAGCGCAGACTCTAATCTGGGAGAACCGGGTTTGATTCCCCCACTCCTCCACATACAGCTGCTGGTGTGACCTTGGGTCAGTCACAAGCTCTGGCACAGCTGTTCCTGAAAGAGCAGTTTGTGTCAGAGTTCTCTCAGCCCCACCCACCTCACAGGGTGTCTGTTGTGGGGAGGGGAAGGGAAAGGAGTTTGTAAGCCGCTCGGAGACTCCAAGTGAAGGGCGGGGTATAAATCCAATCTCCTCCTCTTCCTCTGTGAGGTAGGTTAGGCTGAGAATGCGTGACTGGCCCAAGGTCATCCAGTAAGCTGGCATGAATGGGGATCTGAACCCAGGTCTTCCAGATCCTAGTCCAGCAGTCTAACTATTGCACCATACTCGCACACACTGTGATACTCCTACTTGCTCCCAATGGATATCACCCAAATACATGGTGTATACTTTCTGTATTCATAGATTGAGAGTGCTGGTATTCTGCATTCTATAAATTCTCTTCTCCCTGTTTTGCCCTCACAGCAATCTCGCAAGGTAAACCAGGCTGAGAGAGAGTGGCTCACCCACGGTCACCTCCTGTACTTCTTGGCTGTGGGGATTTGCACCTGGGTCTCCCAATTCCTAATCCAACACTGTAACCACAACATGTATCCTTCCTAGACACTTGTTGGACCCCACTAGAATTCCAGTTCCTGGCCTTTTTATTTGTTTGTGGAGGGGTGTTTTACAACCTTTCTAGACCATATTTCAACAGCAACAAAAATTCATAAATCAGCTTCCAAAAAAACACTGAACATTTTTAAAAGCACAATTTAAATGCTATTAAAAGGATATTCTAAAACTGTGTAAAATAGCAGTGAAGAATCTCAAGCCAATTCCCAAATTGCCAGCAGAATGGAAAAAAGATGACTCTCTGGACACGCATGGACTTCTCAGGGGAGCCTATTCCTTAACTCTGGGACCACCACAGAAAAGGCCCTGTTCTTGGAATGTGACAGGAGCCCTGTTCACACATTAGAGTGAAAGCACATATAATCGAATGTGACAGGAGCCCTGTTCACACATTACAGTGAAAACACATATAATCCGTGTACAGTGTACACTTGATTACTTTTATGCACACACTGAGTAATTCTCATGTTCCATTTGATGCAGATACAACTGAACATGTGACTGAAATGGCACATTTATCCTGCTTTCAATTGCTGTGAATGCATGTTGACTCTTTTGTACAAACAGATCTATGTATGTACATGTGTTCACTGTAACACGTGAATAGAGTTTCTGTAGCTTCCTTAGAAGGCAGAGCCTGGACTTTCTCTCCAACCACTAGGCCCAACTACTCAGTTGTTAGTGCTATTAGCTCTGGTTTGGGAAATATCTGGAGATTTTAGGGGTGGAGCCAGGGTTTGGAGAGAGGAGGGACTTTAGCAGGGTACAGTGCCATAGAGTCCACCTTCCAAAGCAGCCATTTTCTCCAGGTGAACTGATCTCCGTCACCTGGCAATCAGTTGTAATCCCAGGAGATCTCCAGCCACCACCTGGAGGTTGGCAGCCCTACTTGGCACTCATCCTGCTCTTTCTGCACCAGTCCTCCTTGTTAATCTACCTGTGTGTAATGTCCGCACCCAACTGGGAGCCATCTCATCTCTCCCTCTGCCTTCCCTCTGCAGCTCTGATGAACGCCAACCAGCGTTACGTCATCAATGGGGACTGGGCCATTGACTGGCCGGGCGTGTACGAAGTGGCAGGCACCAAAGTGCACTATGCTCGGACGGCTGACGTGCATGAGAGCTTTGAAGCCACTGGCCCCACCCAGGAAGACTTGTCTGTGATGGTAAGAGGGGAGGGGAGGAGCCATGTGAAAAGGGACTGAGCATCCCTCACTGCTAGAATACTCAGCATGAAGCCATCCTCTGCTACCGAAATGCAACACTTCAGATTGCTCCTTTGGAGCCCAACAGAGCTTTGTTAATCGAAACAGAAAAGAGATCACAATAAAAAGAACAGCATTCCTGTAGAGAGGTCCACCTGTCATCCCCACTTTTGACTTTTCCCCTTTACTCAGCCCCAGACCAGTCCATTCCAATCAACACAACCAGGTGGAATGGGACATATTATTCTGCAACTCTCCCTCTACATATGCTGCTGTTAAGATGTTGAGGGTACTATGCTTCCCCTCCTAGAATGATTCCGATATATCTTCCCTGGGAACAAAAATACTGTAGGGCAAGTGCCAGCAACTTTTTCTTTAATGACAGTAAAGAAAAAACTGTCCTGAGCTACACTCCCGCACATGTTATGGCATCTGGGGATGCCAGCCTTCCGGTGGGACCTGGGGTCCCCTGGAATTACAGGTTATCTCCAGACTACAGAGATCAGTTCCCCTGGAGAAAATAGATGCTTTGGAGGGTGGACTTCAGTGGTCCCTGTAAGCTGCTCCACGGGGCACTGGTGCACAGAATTTTAGCTGGCTGCTCAGATATTTTAGCTTCCAGCTCACTAGCATTTTCCCCCTCCATTGGAAACAATGGAGGATGAGGGCACTTCCTTCTGGGGTCCATAGAATTGGATCCCCAGTCCAATATTTTTGAAACGTAGGGGAGGAGTTGAGGACAGAAGATGGCAGCAATGCTGCAAAGTTGGTGCCTCTACCTCAAAAAACAGCCCCCCCCCCCGATTGCTTCTCCATTGTGGCCTATGGGGCCCATTGACTATCATGGTCCCCATAGGCTATAATGGAGCAGGGGAGAAAAAGATTTGTGGGGGTTTTTTGCATACCCCTCTTATGCTTTTCAGTATGATTTGTAAGTTGCTTTGAGTCACAGAGAAAAACTGAAATATTTGAATACTGAATACTGAAATATTTGAATAAATAAGTTTGGGCAGGTTGATAACATTTAAGCAACTTCCTGTTTGTTAGGTTAGGCAGGGTTCTGATAGTGATTGTTCCACCTCTGTAATATTTTACTTGTAAATTTGCGTATTTCACTAACGCCCCCCCAAAAGAAACTGCAAAAGGCCCCCCCCCCCCAAGTGCTGGTATGTTTTCTAAGGCTCAGCGCAGGGCAACGGACTGAGTCCAGGTCTACCAATATAGTGGAAAGGGGCGGGAAGACCTATTCTCCAGAGTCCTGGTCTACCTCCATAGAGGATAACATTTTATGTAATGAAATTTGACTTGGTTCTATTTTCTCTTATAATCTTTAAATTAGTCTTAAAATATAGTTTAAATATAGTTTAAAAGAATTCATTCTGAGATTTTTACAAGGTAATGGAAATAATCCTCTAAAAGAACTAATTTATGCGATAGTCAAATGCAGACTTGCTCACAACTTTAATGCTACTAGTTTTTTTTGCTCATGAGGTAGAATTTTTGCTCATAACACTGTGGATCTTAGAGGGAGCATTGCTGGTGGGCTCTATGGTGTTGTATCCCACTGAGGTCCCTGTCCTCCCCAGGCTCCGCCCCTCAAATCTCCAGGAGTTCTCTAACCTGGAGCTGGCAACCCTATGCCCCCCTCCCCCCGCCAGTGGCCAGGGTGGACCCGTGTTAAGAAGTTTCGTTCTATCCTAGAAACAGAATGTGGACTACGAAGAGCGGCAGAAACCTAAGCAGCACAGAGAAAAATCCTATCAGATTAAAGTGTTTTAAAAAACAAACAAAAACAAACAGCCCTAGAGCTGATCTTGTCATTTTTTTACCTAGATCTTCCAGGGGATGCATGAGCTACTCCACAGCAGCCAGCAAGCTCCCGGTATCTTATGCGCTACCCCTGCTGTAGATAACACTGTGGAGCTTAGAGGGAGCATTGCTGGTGGGCTCTATGGTGTTGTATCCCACTGAGGTCCCTGTCCTCCCCAGGCTCCGCCCCTCAAATCTCCAGGAGTTCTCTAACCTGGAGCTGGCAACCCTATGCCCCCCTCCCCCCGCCAGTGGCCAGGGTGGACCCGTGTTAAGAAGTTTCGTTCTATCCTAGAAACAGAATGTGGACTATGAAGAGCGGCAGAAACCTAAGCAGCACAGAGAAAACTCCTATCAGATTAAAGTGTTTAAAAAAAACAAAAACAAACAGCCCTAGAGCCGATCTTGTCGTTTTTTTACCTAGATCTTCCAGGGGATGCGTGAGCTACTCCACAGCAGCCAGCAAGCTCCCGGTATCTTATGCGCTACCCCTGCTGTAGAGTCTCAACCCAAACTTTCTTGTCAGGTTCTCTTCCAGGAGCACAACTCTGGCATCGAATACCAGTTCTGGCTGCCGAGGGAGCAGTTCCACCATGTCCAGAGCGACGCTAGCCCCCTGCGCCAGCAACAGACCAGGGAAGTGGAGGGAAACCCAGAGGGGGAACCCCGACATTTCCCACAAGCCACAACAACCCCACCTGTTCAAAAGGTTGGGGGTGCAGCCAAGAAGACATCGCAAGAGGCACCCATGTCTACGCCAGCAAGGACACCCAACCAGCTAGGTAGAGTCTGGCTGACTTCCTTTTTCTGCTAAATTGGAGTCCAGGAGAATTTTGGAGACCAACAAGATTTTCAGGGTGCAAGACTACATCGGATGGCTCTCAGAAGCTTATGTGCCGAAAACCTTATCGGTCTCTGTGGTCCTGCTGGACTCTAATCTAGTTTTTTTTACACGTTGGCTACCCCTCTGAAACTGAGCTGATGAATGTTTCAGCCCTACTTAAGCGTGAAACATTAAAGGGCCCTTGAGACTATTTATGCGAATGTGTGATTGTTGTTATGAGATGCAATGCGGAAGAAAAAATACTTGTAATGTGGATGAGCTTCCCAATCGGTGCAGGTTTGTGTTTCTTTTACAAGCCACTTTAAACAAACATCACTTTAATAAGCCTTCAGTGTGAAATTACGCTTTATGGCGTCATCCTAGGAACACTTTCCTGGGAGTAGACTTAAGTGGGAACTTTGACTCTCACGTTGGTCTCTTTTTCTGGACCTTCAAAGATCTGAATTTCCTCCTCTTGCAGGCCCATAGCTACAGTGGGGTCTCATGGGGACCGGCCCCACAACTTACCACCAAGGCCCCACAACTTCCCATGCAGCCCAGGCCCCACAACTTTCAATTTTTTATTTTATTTATGGTGCTTGCTTGAGGTGTGTGAGGGTGCCCCCTGACTTATTTGAAGCCCCCCCCCAATTAAAATATCCTGGCTACGGGCCTGTCCTTTTGTCAGTTTCTCCTCACAGACTTTTCAGTCAGCTTTTGCCAGGGTAACAGCCCCCTTTGAACTCACAGGAAGTGGCCTTATAGTGAATCAGACCCTCGGTCCATCAAGGTGAACACTGGTTACTCTGAGTGGCAGCCGCTCTCCAGGGTCTCAAGCGGAGGTCTTCCACATCACCAGCAGCCTGATTCTTTTAACTGGGACCTGGGACATTCTGCGTGCCAAGCAAATGCTCTGTCTAAGAAGCATGGCCCCTCCCCTCCCATGGTATCTACAGCAGCTTCGTAAGCTAGCTCAGTATTGCTCTCATGCAGAGACAAATCTGGAAGCACAGTGGCTGACTGATGGTCACCTGGCAAGTTCACAGGAGAGCCAAGATCCGAGACGGGTGTACTGTGCCAGCATCTAAACACATCCCTCCCGCAAAGTCATTGCAGGAAGTCTGCTGACATCCGGGGTTTCAGGCAAAGCGCATTTGGCTTTATAGAAAGGAAACTTCATTCTTAATTGGAGAAGGAAATGAATAGAAATCTGTTAATCCAGTACATTTTTGGCCCTAGATTTTAAGAGTATAGCAAGCATCAGATATATACTGCCCCAAATAAAAAGTATAGCAGGCCCCCAAACATAACAGGCTTCAGAAGGGTATTTTTTTCCCAACAGCCTGTCTGCTCTCCCATTAGCCCTTAGGGAGAACTAACTGTGAAGCACATTCCTTGGGCCACCAGGTTCTCAAGTTGTTCCATCGGATAATGAGCCATGTGGATTTCAGGTTTGTTTGGAAGCCAAGCCAAGAGCTTGCATTTCATGTACTGATCAAACCAAGTCAGACTTGCAGCCCTTTTTTTTTTTTAAACCTCACCGTTATAACTGACAACATTATTTATAGCTAGATCCAGCCTATTATTTTAATATGGCGAGGATGATGAACGGAAGCATTTGTATGCAGCTTTCGTAATTAAATAACTGTCTCTAATGAAGCTCTGAATTAAAAAATATACCATCAAAATGATACACACATAGACAGTGTTGAACTATCAACAGCAGCTGTCCAAATCTAGCCGTTGGGGAGGTGGAGTCCCGTAGCTGCAACACAATAGTTTGGGTTACCAACTTCCAGGTAGTGGCTGGAGATCCCCTGGGATTACAACCGATCTCCAGGCGACAGTGATCAGTTCGCTTTGCGAAAATGGCCACTTTGGAAGGTGGACTCTGTAGCATTATACCCTGCTGAAGTCCCTTCAAACCCCACTTTCCTCAGGCTCCACCCTCAAAATCTCCAGGAATTTCCCAACCTGGTGCTGGCAGCCCTAACAGTAATGCCATCACAACACGATAATTCAGGCAGGCAACAATCACACTACTAGGGCAAAACAAACCACGTATAAATGGAAAAAAGATGAATTTGGCAGCTGTGGCCATCCACTTCCATTTTTTCCCCGATCGTAGTGCTCTTGAGGGAACATACGGGAAGAGACGGTCCTTCAGGTAAGCCGGACCCTGGCCATTCAGGGCTTTAAAGGTGAGAACCAGCACTTTGAAGTGAACCCGGTATGCTACCGACAGCCAGTGCAGTGCTTGCAGCCCAGGCCAAATTATAGCCTGCTGAAGTCCCTTCCCTCTCCAAGCCCCACTTTCCTCAGGCTTCCACCCTCAAAATCTCCAGGAATTTCCCAACCTGGTGCCCGCAGCCCTAACAATAATGCCATCACAGCATGATAATTCCGGCAGGCAACAATCACACTAGGGCAAAACAAACCACGTCTAAATGGAAAAAAGATGAATTTGGCAGCTGTGGCCATCCACTTCCATTTTAACAGTAGCCTTTTTTGTTCTGTTCTCTAAAAGTTATTCTTTTGTCAAGGTGACAGGTTTCTCAAGCCAATTCATGTATTACCAAGTCCTCACATCTCCCCACAAGTTTCTGTTAATCTGATGGACTCTGGGGATTCTGCGTTTGAGGATTATTTCCCAGGTCCGTGAAAGACAGATTCAAATCAGGACCATGGTGTGCAGGGAAGGGGCTTAAGCTTCCCTCTGTGCTATTTTCCCCACCTGAAACAGTCCGGAGATCCACTGTGTGCACTTTTGAGGGAACTTGCACGCAGCCCTAGCAGTTTGAAAGCAAGAAATTGCAAGTAGATAAATAGGTACCACTTCAGTGGGAAGGTAACAGCATTCCGTGCGCCTTGGTGTTTAGTCATGCCGGCCACATGACCACGGAAACGTCTTCGGACAGCGCTGGCTCTTCGGCTTGGAAACGGAGATGAGCACCGCAACCCTAGAGTCGGATTTGATTGGCTTTCGAGCAAGGGAACCTTTACCCTTACACACAGTCCATTAGTATACATTAAATTTCCCCCAACGGGGCAAACAGCAGCTCCCCGCTCAGGAAAATGACAGGAAAGGTTATGCCCCCCCCCCTGCCCTGCGTGCTCCAGACCAATCCAAATCAGGTCCACATGGACCTAGCAAACAAGTTGTGAGTGTGAGACTCTGGTCAGCAGGATGGGGGTAGAGACATGGGGGACATAAGAACTTCGTCATAGGTGAATAGGCCCTGAGATTTGCCACAAACATTCTAAAAGACAGTGTGATGGAATTCCGCATTCAGAAAGCACTCCAAGTATTCATTGACTCTGTTGATAGTCAGTTTCACTCCTTCAGCTTTAAATCTCCAGACTGACAAGTCAGATCCGTAGGGCTCTGCGGATGCTGGTAGACGAGACAAGGCGTCACAGGTGGGGCTGTGGCTCAGTAGTAGAGCATCTGCTTGGCATGCAGAAGGTCCCAGGTTCAGTCCCTGGCATCTCCAGTTAAAAAAGACCAGGCAGTAGGTGATATGAAAGACCTCTGCCTCAGACCCTGGAGAACGTCTGCCAAGGGTCTGATTCACTACAAGGCAGCTTCATGTATTCACGTCTTGTGTTACTATCAGCTTCCTTTTTCTGATCACTCGTAAATCAGGCTGACCAAAAGGCAAAAGTGAAAAACAGTGTCTGCCAATCGGTTTTAGCATTATGTCAGCCCAAACATCTGGAGGCGCATTTCTTTGCCTGCTGTGTCAAGCAGAACTTTGGAAGGCTCGTTTCCCCCCCAGCCTCTGGAGTTTTTACTCCATAATTCACAATGAGATTTCTGACTCGTGCAAGTACAGGCAATTCACCAAATTGTCCCTTCATTAGTTAGAACTGCAGTGTTTTGCCACAGAACCAATAAAGAACAGATAAAAGTTTTATTTTTGGCAACAGGGAGGTCTTTGATGTTACAGAATTCCTCCCTCCCCATTTCTGCACCACACATTATTTGAAGCTAACGTCACCCTCTCAAAGAATTATAAACCAAATTTCTTCCTGTCCCTCCAGCAAAACAAAGCATCGCTCGGGAAGAAATCAGGTTCCATTTGCTTAATCGTTTTTATACCATGGGTGGATCAAGGCAGGATTTTTGGAGAATGAGACAAGTGATGGGATATGGTTGGACAGGGTGACGAAAGAGTCAGAGGAGAGGGATAGGTTGACGGGGAGGTGGCTTACCAGGAGTTGAGAGAAGATGGTCCTGGTGGAGGATGGGGAGTGAGAAAACAGGGTAGCTGTCTGGACCCAGGATTCTGAGAGCTGATAACAAATCGTGGAGTACAAAGAAGTCCCCCTCCCCCGAGACTGTTTCAAGCAGGGGTCATTTCGTAGAAAAAGAGATGCAGGAGCTCATTAGCATAACTCATTAGCATAACTCATTTGCATATGCCACACCTCGTAACATCACCGGAAGTGTGTCAGAAGGCAACACCCACCACTCAGGCTCCACTGGACTGTTTTGGATTGCTAGCTATTGGGGGGGGGGAACACGCAGATCTGTCCTCGCAGAGGAGGGAGAGCTTGTACCTGAATAAAACTTGGTCTTAAAGGTACCACTGGACTGTTTTGGACCGGGGGGGCTGGGGGGGGGAGCTCTGCAGCTTACCTGGCTGCTTCTTGCTCTGGCGGAGGGCTGCGGGGAGCAGGGGGTGGGGGCTTGTTGCATGTGCCCGCCCCCTGGGCTCTTTACTGCCGGGGCTCCGCTCCCGTGCCCTCCTGCAGGAAACAACCCCTGGTTTCAAGTAGGGAAAATGGCACAGGTGGGAAGGCTGAAGTCTGTTCTCCACGTGCAATTCATGTCTGACTGCTACAAAGGGTGGGGATCTCGCAGACCCACCCTCCTGTGTATGCTGTAATTTGTGAATTGCGAGGAGAAGGAATAACAGTTAACAGGTTAAGGTGAGAGCAGGGTGGAGGGGGACTGTGTGAGGTGTAGTTCATTGTTTGGATTGTATTAATTAGAGGGTCATGTAGTCAATAGAAGGCTTTCCCCCCCCCCCCCCCCCCCCGATCACTGCACCAGTACTGCACAGAAAGCGCTTTGTCTTTCTTGTCCTGCAGGGAGATGCAGACGTTGTGAAACACCAAAAGGGAAATCCCAGCGCATTCAGCATTACTGCCAGAGTGATTTTGGTACGTATTACTTCTCTTCAGGGATGGGGCAGGGGATGAGACCCTGACCCCCTCAACAGAGAAATGGCCTCACTACCCTTTTGGAACTCACCTGCCTGATTACAGGAAGGGTTTGGGGAGAGGCATCTTCTCACATCACAGAGGGGATGGCAGAATGGATAGCTCAAGGCTGTTGTGTGCGGAAAATCCCTGGCATCAGCAAGAAGGGGGGGGGGGGGCTAATGACACGTTACACAATTGACAGGACCCAGGGCGGATCCAGAGAAGCTGATGTGTTGCTCCCGGCAATTTTTAAAATGTAATTCTCAGCTGTGGGTGGGACCAAATCAGGTTGGGACTGTGGCACGACAGGAGAAGGGTCTTAATTCACTCCACCCTCCACCATGCTTTTTTCCCCTTAGCCTGAAACATCCCTTGCCTTTTGGGGGAACACTTACATGGGCTGACAGACTACATGTAAGTTTCCCAGTGGGCCAAATGGTAGCTCTCCAGTTTGGGAAAATGTGATGGTGGGAGACCCTGAAGCCCAATCGCCTGATCTGAATCCTCCCCCACATGCCTGAGAAGTGTTTGAAAATTTGCTGGGACTTCAGAACTCGGAACTGTCGGCACACGTGTGGTTTGACAGGACCCGGGTTGGACCCAGAAACAGTTTGATTAATTATGTGACTCCCAGATGGCAGGTATTGGGAAGTCGTTCTTCCGCCTGAGACTTTGGAAAGGCCCGGCCAGTCATCAGGCAGTGCTGAGGCGGATAGGCCAAGGATCTGGCTCTGCGTAGGGCTGCTTTGTTATAGTCATGAGCGTAACAACAGGAATGCTTTTCTGCTTTCAGCTGTAGCTCAGGGGCTGAGTGCATGCTTCACGTGCCCAGGGTCCCTGGTTCAACACCCAGTTTACAGGATCTTCCGCCTGAGACTTTGGAAAGGCCCGGCCAGTCATCAGGCAGTGCCGAGGCGGATAGGCCAAGGATCTGGCTCTGCGTAGGGCTGCTTTGTTATAGTCATGAGCGTAACAACAGGAATGCTTTTCTGCTTTCAGCTGTAGCTCAGGGGCTGAGTGCATGCTTCACGTGCCCAGGGTCCCTGGTTCAACACCCAGTTTACAGGATCTTAGGGAGCAAAGGGTGGCAACTGGCAAGGATCTTTGGAGACCTCAGAGCACCACGACTAGTCAGGGGAGATATGGGTAGATTCAATGCAAGGCAGCTTCACCGATGTTCCTCTGATGCTACATTATTGGGGTGAGCCTGTTGGGTGTAGGCTCAAACTAGACAAGTGGTTTTAGCACGTGCAGTCCCACAATGTGGAAAATAGCCACATTAATAGCTTTTTGAGTCAGGAAAATGGCACAGGATGGAACGCTGATGGAATCGCCGCTATACACCAGTCCCGATCCAAATCGGGGTCCAGCACACTTGGGAACTTTGTTTCCTGCAGCTCACGTTTGACTGCGAGGCGATCAGAATCCAATCGGGGTAAACCACATCCAACTCGGGCTGAAACATCTAGTTTGAGGTGAGCCCCACCTCTGTCAGGGACTTTCCAACATCTGGAAGGCAACAAATCCTCAGGTCAGAGTGCAGAGAAGACTGTGACACAGTCAACATGGTGTGGTGGTTTGGGTGCCTCAGACTAGGGTCTGGGAAACCCGTGTGCTAATCCTCGCCCTGCCATGGAAACTCTTTGGGTGACCTTGGGCCATTCACTCTCTCCTCCAGCATAACATACCCCACAGGGTTGTTGCGATGCAAAACTGGAGGAGAGGAGAATCCTATCGTAAGCAGCTTTGAGTCCCCAATGGGGAGAAAAGCGGAGTATAAATTAATCTAATTTTTAAAAGCCACACAAATTGAATTGCAGCCCCAGAAAATAGCACCCCCGAAGCCTTTTTGAGTCAGGAAAATGGCACAGGATGGAACGCTGATGGAATCGCCGCTATACACCAGTCCCGATCCAAATCGGGGTCCAGCACACTTGGGAACTTTGTTTCCTGCAGCTCACGTTTGACTGCGAGGCGATCAGAATCCAGTCGGGGTAAACCACATCCAACTCGGGCTGAAACATCTAGTTTGAGGGGAGCCCCACCTCTGTCAGGGACTTTCCAACATCTGGAAGGCAACAAATCCTCAGGTCAGAGTGCAGAGAAGACTGTGACACAGTCAACATGGTGTGGTGGTTTGGGTGCCTCAGACTAGGGTCTGGGAAACCCGTGTGCTAATCCTCGCCCTGCCATGGAAACTCTTTGGGTGACCTTGGGCCATTCACTCTCTCCTCCAGCATAACATACCCCACAGGGTTGTTGCGATGCAAAACTGGAGGAGAGGAGAATCCTATCGTAAGCAGCTTTGAGTCCCCAATGGGGAGAAAAGCGGAGTATAAATTAATCTAATTTTTAAAAGCCACACAAATTGAATTGCAGCCCCAGTGGGTGTGAAATGACTGAGGGAGAAGGCGCCACTGCTGAAATTCTCCCTGAGGAGGGAGGCTTAGCAGCCCTTCCCCACTTTTCAAACTCTCTCTTTTCTCCTCCCCTCGACAGTATTCCGCGCGCAAATCCTGGCCAAGCACTACATTGGCCTGGAGACCCGCTACGACGTCCAGGTTTTGCACACCTACCGCAACCGCTTCGTTATTGGGCGCCGGGAATTTGTCTGGGTCTCCAACACCTGCGACTGCCCCCTGCTGGTGGAGCGGCGTGAGTACGTCCTGATGGCCCGCCAACACGTCAACTACGAGCACACCCTCAACCGCATCCTGCTGCAGCGCAGCAGCTACGCCCGGCCCTGGTCGCCACGGGAGGACTTGCAGCTGCGGGACGTGGGCAAACACTGTCAGCCCAGCAGGGTGCTCTGAAGGGATTGGGAGCCTCTGGAGCCTCCTTTGGGGGCAGGGGGAAGCCGTCCTGGGACAACCACCATCTGGAAGAACATAGAGCTCGGAAGGGAGCAAGCCCCTGGCCAGTCCCCCCATCAAACTGTGCTGTGTAAAGGGGCCACGGGTCTGGAATTTTGACCCTTGTCAACTTTATGCGTGACGCAACTGCTGTGAGACCCTTCCCCTCTGCCCTTGGACTGTCTGCCTTATCAGTCAGCACGAGTGTGACTTTGAGAGAAGGGAGAGTCTCTATCTCAAGCACATGCCATTTGCCAAGTGATTTGCAGGAGGGGTGGCGTTCCCAGGGCCAGGTCGGAGATGCCGGTGGCTGTCTGCCCAGTTTCAACCCTCTCCCCAGCCCCAACCCCATCGACCACTTTATCCTATTAGGGAAACCCAAAATGATCCTGTGGTTGGGATGCCTGTCTAAGATGAAAGGCGAAAAGGTTTGGGGCTTCCCTTCTTAAAAACAAGTTGACAGTGTGGTGCGGGAGGGAGATGAAAGAAGGTAGTAACATTATGCACGGGATGGAGAAAGTAGTCAGGGAGAATTTTTTCCTTTCGCAAAATTAACATAAGGAGCATCCACTGAAGATGACGGGCAATAGATTCAGGGCAGACAAAAGGAAGTCGCTCTTCACTCGCTGCATAATTCACTTGTGGAACTCACTGCCCCGGGATGTTGGTGATGGCCATGAGCGGCTTCATAAGAGGGTTAGACAAATTCAAAGAGGAGGCGAGGCCCGTCAGTGACCTCCATGTTCGGAGACAGTGTTACCTTCCAAATCATAAAGGGGGGGGGGGACAGTAGGCAAGATTGATTTCGTTCCATTCCCTTATTGTGGGCTTTCCATTGTGGCTTCTGTTTGGCCACTGTGAGAAGCCAGGTGGTGGATTACATGGCAACTGCGGTCTGATCCTGCAGATCTGCTGTTTCTAAAGGTAAATATCGGGAAGATTCTTCCCATCTGGCCGGATCTTTTGCTTCTGGAGAAACAGCTATGTCTTTCTAGCACCGTAGCCTTTTTACAAGTGCCACAGTGAAAGCCTGGGAGACCTCCCTTGTGAATACAGTTCCGACAAGGCTGAGAGCAGCTCTTTGCAAGTCTTCCCAAAGCCTTTTAATTCAAGGTCCAGATTCACACAAGGAGGGAGAATGCAGGGAAGGTGGGGGGAATCACCCCAAGCCCATTTAATCTGCACATGAAAATGGCCTGCAGCTGTCATCATGTTAACGAGTTGCAGAAATGTTAAGAACAAAATGTGTGTGATGCCTTTTTCATAGGAACAACCAAAATATCACAAAACCAAGTGCATTACAAAACAGTGTGTGAGTTTTCAGTTTCTCTAGATCTCTCTGTCAGGCTTGATGTTTAGCCTCCCCTTCCCTCAAAAGAAGCAGAAGAAATTTTGTCTTAAGATACAACCCAGAATCTACTGTTGTATTTTTAAAATGCAAGACGGAATATGCCTAAATTGGAATTCATATAGATGGAGGTTAATTTAGGGTAGGGCTTTTGAAGCATAAGGCCCAAGGAATTCAAAAAGTTGCAAACTGTTCAGCCATTGCTGGAACCCCGGTTTAACAGCATCCTACAAGTTTGGAGACTAGTTTTGACAGTGGCTAGTCCAGACCTAGAAATGCCAGCAAGGCTGAACCTGAGAAAAACCTCCCCGCTGAGGAAAGGCTAAAGAGTCTGGGAGTTTTCAGTTCAGGGGAAAAGCTGGTGGGACGGGACACATCAGAGAGGTTTACACAATTATGAGTAGGGTGGAGGAAATGGCTCAAGAGCTTTCCCCCGTAATACTAGAACTGGGGGTACCCAGTGAAGTTGATGGGCCGTAGATGTTGGACAGACAAAAGGAATTACTCAACAAGTAATTGCATAGTGGAATTTGCTGCCAGTGGATGGTGGTGATGGTTGTGAACAGAGAGGGGGTTAGACAGGACCAAGCCAGACACGATGGTGTCCTGCCAAGAGGATGCCACCGCCATTTTAAAGTCAATTTAAAAAAATGCTGCAAGGGCCCAGTCCTGCCTGCAGTGCGGTAGCCTGAAGCACTCTTGTCTCCCCCGCCATACCTCATCGAGTGCCAAAATGGCTGTACCCCCTCATGGCTGTTTCAGAGGTAGCAGTCAGATGTAGCTTAGCCCATGGATTCATGGAAGAGTAAAGGACTAGCAGTGGCTACTAGTAGGGTTACCAGCTTCCAGGTGGTGGCTGGAGATCTCCTGGGGTTACAATAGACCTCCGGGTAACAGCAGTCGGTTAACCCGGAGAAAATGGCCATTTTGGAAGGTAGATTGTATTGCATTATAGCCCGCTGAAGCCCCTCCCCTCCCCAAACTCTACCCACCTCAGGCTCCACCCC